ATGTATGTATGTATTCATTTATTTATCCATTGCCCATACTTTCATAAAGACACACGCATGTATGTGCACATATGCATACACAAATACACACACACACATCTATATATATATATATATGTATATATATATATATATTTATATTTATGTATGCACAGAATAGCACCTATGCATAAATACATCCATCCATCCATCCATCCATCCATCCATCCATCCATCCATCCATCCATCCATCCATCCATCCATATCCACATGTACGCATTTATAAATGCATGCGTCCCCCTAAAGCGACCTCCATGGTATTTCCAAATCCATTAACCCGAAGCCCGGCCTCCGGTAAGCTCCTTCACTTTCGCGGCGAGGGCCTGTCTGCTCAGCTGTGGGTTTAGGGTTTGGGGTTTAGGGTTTAGGGTTTACGGTGCGTTAAGGGTTTCTGAAGGCTTAAGCCCTAAACCCTAAAACCCCGGACTTGGGGCTTTGAAGATTTTGGGGGGTTGTTCCTAGGGATCGTCGGGTTTTAGGTTTATGGGTTCGTGCTGTGAGGCTTGACAGACGTATATATATATATATGTATGTATATGTATATGTATATGTATATGTATATAAATAATATGTACATGTGGTGGGGGATTGGGGCTTTTGGGATTTGGGGGTTGAGGGTGATGGATGCCGGCTTAAAAAACAATCAGACTAGGTTTCGGTGCTTTAAGCAGTAGCGATACAGTGCAGAAACATGACGAAAGACATGCTCTTACTACAGGCCTCTATATGGCCCAGAGGAGAGCCTGGCGATGTGTTCGGGGGGAACCCTGCAGCGCAAGACAAACCCGAAGAAGCGAGAGCGAGGCACCCCAAGGGCATACGACTTACGACCTGCGGCCAAAGTCCAGCTTTGACGCTAGCACCCCATGCCGTTTCTGAGGCAGCTATACACATTATGATCCTCTGGCCTGAGCTGAATTGAATCGCACTTTGCATGGCAACCTTACATAGCTCCTTTGAAGCCAAACCTGAGTGCACTCCCCATCTGCCTCGACCCCAGCAGGTGTGGCCAAATCGCTGCCAAAAGCCACACATTTTCCTTTCCCCAGTGCATTCAGACCTTGGCATGACAGAGAATGAAGAGCGATTGGTTCGGCACGCGGACCAAGTGGTCCAGGCTTGGGGGGCCCTTCAAGTACCCTCTGCGATCGAGAACCGGCTCTACAACGACACAGAAACTGCGAGGTTTGTCGACGTAAAAGCTTAGCACGTGAGAACAGGTATCTCGGGCCCGAAGAAGGAACCACTCCACTTGAGATGTCGTCTTTAGCACCTCGGCTACAGATCCCACCCTTGCCCCAAACACCTCAAAACAGGTAAAGTCTGAGTCACGGAGTACCTTCGATAGAACCTAGGCCAATACAAAGAGCCTTGAAGCCCCGCATGAATTCAGAAGCAGCCTGCCACAAGACAAAGAATCCGGCTCAAGCGAAGCGTTGTATCACCGAGGCCACGACGTGACGCGGTTGCTTCGCACTGCTTTGCATCCCGTGAACTGATGATGACGAAACACCGGTTCACGACCAATCCTGGCGTTGTTTGCGTGTTGCGTTACTAATTGAAGTCATGTAGGGTCCTTAAATATGATCTTCAAAGTTTCCTGTTCCATCTAGGGTTTGCTGTTCGTTCAGAACCAAAGAGTTGAGAGATTGAAATATGTGGGACGCTGCAGTAGACTACAGACTCGGACAGGAGATGTTTGGGGGCCAAGCTCTTCGGCATTTGAAGTCTCGCAATCTCAGAAGTCACTTGGTGGAAAGTCTGCCCGGTTCTTCTTTGGGCTGCACCTCCTAGTAGCCTAGCAAAACGGCTGAGTCGGAGACCCCCAAAACCCTTGCCCTAACCGCCCCAGGCAAAAAGGACCTGAAAACTCCGCGAAGGAACGAGCAACCCTAAACCCTAAACCCAAAGCACACTTCCTTCTGCGATCATCTCACCGATGCCGCGGCCGCCGCCGGTGACCAACACATTCTTACCGGCCTCGGCTTTGGCAACATTGCATCACTGAGGGTTTAGGGTTTTTTTGCCTCCTACTTAGCAAGGACGTGCCCGCATGGCAGGGTGGTAAGTCGGCTTGAGAGTTTAGGGTTTAGGGTTTACGGCGACTTAGACGACCGCTTTGAATCGCGACCCAACCGAGATCAAGCGTCGCATGGGGTTGAAGGCTGCGCAGCCACGACCAGGTCGACAGAAAAGTGACGAAACCAGAAGCTTGCAACCAAGAGGCCACTCCAAAAAGATCTGCCAGCTCCATGGCCCAAAACCCTAAACCCTACTTCACTTCTAAGGGCACTGCAAGAACCCCAACGGCTGAAACGGCGTTGTCGACCACCATAACCGGGACTCAAAAGCGCCAGGACATAAGACCAGTAAGGGTTTAGGATTTTAAGGGTTTAGGATATATAGGGTTTAGGCAAAAAACTTTAGGGGTTTAGGGTTGAGGAAGGTTATAGGGTGGACCAATACTCATCAAAATACGGGCCTCATGGCATGCGCAGGCCTAAACCCTAAACCCATCATTGCACCCCGAATCCGACCCAAAGCTCAAAGCCCATGCTTCTACTGCTGTAACTGACAAGCCTAAACTGACCCGAAACCCAAACCCTGACACCCCACGCCCCAAAACCTAAGCCTACAGTAATGTAGGGGCCTTGAAAATTAGAATAGGGTGTTCGGGGTATATTATAGTACAATTAGATCAGGGAATCCCGAAAATAATATAAATATAATTATTAAGGCCCCTAGTATATTACGTACCCTGGTTCTCTTGGACCTCCAGTGCAGGGAAAGGCAAGGCCTCGAGCTCGAGGCGGACGCCAAACTGGTCTGCCAAACCCTCCAGGGCATAGGCCTGGATAGGTCCAGTGCTCAGGGCGGTAGCAGTCGCAGCAGTAGGAGGGGACGGAGGAGGAGGAGGAGGAGCAGGAGAAGGGGAGGAGGCGGAAGATGAGGAGGAGAAGGAGGAGGAGGGGGAGCAACAGCAGCAGCAGTGAAGTGATTTTAGTGGCTCCATGAACACCGCGGTTTACAGTGCCGGAACCGACATAGCTTTCTGCAACCAGTTGAAAGCTCACATCTGCGACCATTCCCTGAAATCCTTCTTGTCCGCTCAGGACGCGGCCGCGTGCTCGGCGGGTAGAACCTTTCCATAGTCTCGTGGCTCAATTGCTGTCCGGAATAGCATTTAAGGTCTCGGGTGTTGGAGTCGAGGATTCGTGGTCTGTGGTGCATGTTCAGGTTTAGGGTTTAAGGTTCGGGGTCTTGACTTTGGTGTCAGGAATCAGGAAGTTAGGATGTATCTCTTCAGGGTGTCCCAATGGTTGCAGCAGAGGAACCGATGGTCTTGAAGGAACCGTATGTCAATTAGCCTCCGACTGCTTTCACCATTCGCCGGGTTCGGAACCCCATAAACGAAAAAGACGTCGAACTCAAGGTCAACAAGTCCCCGATCTCTAAGGGATCTACGAGGCTTACCATGGAACTGCCCCTAACTGAGTCTGCGAAAGGCTTGCGGCTCCGGGTTCCGGATAGACAGATGGGAGAGGAAGCTCTGCAAGATAGGCCTTATGGTTTACGACGCCTTTGGGGTTTCGAGCTCCTTTCACCTGGGCAGACTCTTCTCCTGCAGCTTAAACACTGGAGCTCAGCCCAGACATCTGAGAAAAACGAACCCCGACATGGGGGTTTCCTAAAATAGGGGACCCTAATATAGTACCCTAAATACTAGGACCCTTATTATAAGGACCCCAAAATAAGGTACCCCCTATTTTCGGAAAGTCCCACATACGCTTACCCATGAGCAGAACCATGACCCTCCCCTTGCCTGCTGACCAGGTAGAAGCGCACTGGTCCAGACCTCATCGGAAGGCCTATGTAGGACCCCTTCATGGCTTTTTCCACTTTAAAACCAACTGAAAGCTCAGATGAAAACGCAGCAGCCCCGCAGCCCTAAACCCTGAAGAACCCCTGAACCTCAAACTGCCCCTAGACTTCGTATAGTTTAGCAGTTTAGCTTCTGCTGTGGAGTTCAAGGCTTCGGGAGTCAAATGTAAAACTTGTAGGTAGGGCTGGAAGAGGCTGTAGGAGAAAGGTTGCTTTGTGGATCTGAATGGTCGTGTCGCATTCATATCTTGGGTCGCATCATAAAACCTTCGTTTCCCGAACTCGTGGGCGAAGTTGCTCTTTTCCAGGGAGTTGGTTTGGATGGCATGATTTGAAGTGTTCGTGCGGAAGTCTCCTCAATGTTCGTGAAGTTCCCCTCGTAATCCAGCAAAACTGATATCTCTTAAATTCACAGGGAAGGGCTGGCAGGAGTCGCCGGGCTGCAAATCTTCGAGCACAGACATATTAATAATGATTAGAATGGGGTTTTGGGGTCCATTATACAGTACTGTAACTTATTAAAAACCCCCCAAAAAATAGTATTGGTCATTATTTAGGGCCCTGCATTAGCCCGTCACCTCTGCCCCGAAAGCCTGCAACCCGGCACCCTCTAAGACTGCCACTGACTCGGCATGGCGATGGAGCGTCGAAGGTTCTGACCTTTCACCACCACGGACACGGTTTAGGGCTTAGGGGTTATGGTTTAGGGTTTAGGGGTTTAGGGTTTAGGGTTTAGGGGTTTAGGGGTTTGGGGTTTAGGGTTTAGGGTTTAGGGCCCAGCTCTCTCAAGGCCTACACCACTGAGGACCAAGATCCAAGAACCTCTGATTTTGCAACAAACTTTTCAGGTTCGGGCTCTGGTAAAGTCTAAATTTAAACCACAAACACTGAAACCTGCAGTGAGCCCCAAAAACCCTACTCTATCAGCCCAAAACCATACACTGAAGCTTGTTTTGTTTACGTGCCTTGTGGAGTTACAGCTTAAACAGCACCGAAATCCCAGGAAAAAGCCCGCTTTTGTCCGCTTTTGTTGTTTTCCCCCGCATCTCTATCTGTGGGCCCTGAAACTGGGAAGCCATCCATGCTGGTCAGCCAGCGGGGAGCACGGGTTTCGGGTCCAACTTCGGGTTCAGGGTGTAAAGTGCCGGGCTTCTAAGGCGCCCTTAGAACCAAAACGAAAATGAATGTTTGTAATAATCCCTTAAAGTAAGGCCTTAACTTAATTATGATAATAAACCAGAAAGCTGAATCCTAACAACACTTAAAGGCTCAGGGGCTCCGGCCGCGGGGGTTTCATGGGCTTCGGGTTTCAGGGATCTTGAGGCGCTAAGGCCAGGGGACCTGAAGTACTTGTAGGGTTTAGGGTTTAGGGTTTAGGGTTTTAAATTTCAAGCTTTCTGGCACTTCTAGATGGGAGATTCCGAAAATAAGGGGTACCGTATTTTGGGGTCCTTATACTAGGGATCTGCTATTTGGGGTACTTATATTAGGGTCCCCTATTTTCGGAAACCCCGAGTTGCTTGTGGGTACCCCAAGGAGAAGAGTCCTGTGAGCTGGCAAGCTAGCCCGCAATGCTGGAAAATACGACAGACGCACACACGCACACACAATCTGCAATGTCATGTATGGAAATGCACATGTACACTCCGCTCAAATCTTCATGAAGCCGTTTAGACGGTTTAGGCTTCCAGGCCCTAAACCCTATAAATCCTAAACGTTCGGAACAGGGAAAGGGTTCGGCTCCCGGGGACGGCCATCCACGTCCCTCCAGGCAGAAACCACAAGCCTGGACAGGGTCCGCCTTGAGGCTCGCACGCTCTCCATTATAGGAGCCTTAACAACTAGAATAATCTAGGGGCCTTAAGAATTAGAATAGGGTTTGGGGGTATAAGATACTAGAATCAAGAAGGAACCCCCAAAACCCCTTTCTAATTATTAAGGCGTCTACGCCTAAGCAGATCAAGCTCTGTACCACCCCCACTCCGAATCGTCTTTTGATGAATAAGAGACCATGAGTAAGACCGAATCAAGACCCCTGAAGAGTCTTCTTCATGCAGACCCTACATGGAAAGATTTGGTACAAGGGCTGCAGCGGCTTCGGCGGTAAACCCGTCTGGAACCGAAACCCTCCCATTTTGCGAAACCTGCCAACCAACAAGGGCTAAGGCGAGCTTCCAGAAAAGTCGAACGTGAAATACAGGGGCCTTGGTAATCAGACTAGGTTTCGGGGGTATATTTTGCTATAACTTTCTAGGCTTATGATATTGCTGATTTCTCAAATCCCCATATTTATAGGGGTCGTGATATGGGCGACGCTTAGGGACACAGAACATGCAAGGACATGTGGGAGGTTGAATTGCCCGGCGCTGTCTTTGGGGTTAGGGCGTATGCTCTTGCATTCAGGATCTGCGGTTGGAAACCAAGGCGAACCTTGCAGGTGCAGGGTTTTTGAACTTGGTGTTAAACCCTAAACCCTCAAACCGAAACCCTAAACAGGGTTCAGGGTAGGTTCAGCCCAGGAATGTCTGGGAGCAGCAAGCCTCTTTGAAGAAACCGTGGCGCAAACTATCTGTTTGAGCCAGCGAGAGTGCACACCTCAATGCTTCGTCCCCCTGCCTAAACCCTAAACCCTAAACCCTAAACACTAATCCCTAAACCCTCAACCCTAAATGCTAAACCCCTAAACCCTAAACCCTAAGCGGAATCCTTCGTATTTGGGGCTCAGGGCTTTGAGGCCACCCGTTCGCCTCCGAGTCTCGGGTTTCCTCTGCATTTCGGACAACCGTTCGAGGCGAAAGGCCGATGACTCTGGGATTTCGGTTTAGGGTTTAGGGTTTAGGGTTTAGGGTTTAGGGATTTCACTAATGTAGGGGCCCGTAATTAATAGGGTTTTTGGGGGTTCCTTTAAAAGGGATACTATAAGGGTTCGATAGTGTAGCGGCCTTAATAATTAGAATAGGGTTTTGGGGCCCATTACACTATGATTATAAGAAGGAGCCTTCACAATGGTATAGGTAATTATTTAGACCCCTATATTAATAAGATGTTGGCTTCAAGGGGTTATGGGGTTTTCAACTCCTGCAGGGGTTTGCTGTGGCACGCAGGATTTTGCAGCGAGGGCTTCGGAGAGAGGGTTGTTGGCCGCGAACAGCACACCAGGAAATGGAAGGTAGACTCGCGCATTGAGGTTTTGCCAATTAGACACCGGAGGTGTCTGGAGGAATAGGCCCATACACATATGTTCTGGCTCTGAAGACCTGCAACGCTGACCTCCGGGGCCAAGATTAGAGGCTACATGGCTGAGCTGAACCGCTTTCAATACCCGGTCAGAGCAATGAACAACTCTGTACTCCTACCCGCTATGGAGTACTCTTTCGCGGGCAGCTTGCCCCTTGAACACCTCCTTGACACTTGAAAATCTCGGCTACGCAAGCCGACTTGGGCCGACTCTGTACAGTGAATGGCGTCAAGCCGTTCTAAAGCTAATTGTCAGATTGGGAGCCTCGATTGCAAAGAACATGTGCGGAGATGCAGTGGCCTGGTTTCTCATCTCATCGACAGGCCGATCCGCCACTTTGCCTTTCCCGCACCTGCAAGGACAAGCAAGCCAGCAAAAAGGCAGAAAGGTTTGGGGTATCAAGTTTGATTCCACGAACAACGCAGCTCTGGCCTCCGTGGTCTTGTCGACACTCAGCGCTCCTGGAGTTAAAAATACATGCAATGCTTGATATCCTTGATGCTAGCTAACGCAACGACTCATCTTCACAGCTGAGGCTGGGGCAACACCGTGACCTCCACCGGGCTGTTCACAGCGAGTTTGGCCGCAGCTTCCCCCAACGGAAACTTTGAGATCTCGGCGCAGGCGTCAGAAGGCACGTGCGGTTCTTCTGACATCGGACCCTCATATCTTGCTCGGCAATACATGGAAGACAAACTATTTCGAAGGCCCCACCTGCCATGGGCATGGGACGTGAAGTAAGCATGAAAACGAAACCAAAGGAACCTCGATGCAGGCAGTGCGTGAACCCTAAACCCTAAACCCTAAACCCCCTGTAACAGCCCGAACTGAGGCCCAGGCATGCAGCAGCCCATCGTGGCCCACACCCACATCCACGAAAGCCCCGAAGGCCACAACGTTTCGAACTACTCCCTGCAGGCGCATTCCAGCTCGTAGCTGGTCAGCCTTGGAAAAGGAATATTGACGGGGCCTTAATCATTAGACTAGGGCTCAACTTAAGGGATTCTATACGTGTTGCGCAAATCTAAGGTGGCCAGTCCTAGCTTGTGTTACCTTGTCGGCGAAAATCTGCGTGCCGCTGCCTTTGCAAGCTGCTCCCTCCTCCTGCTCTCGCGGCACGCTTGAGCTCAACAGAGACGATTCCCTAAACCTTCCCTAAACCAATCAGCCCCAAATCAGGCAAGCAGACGATGGGGAAGTACCAGTGGGAGTGTCACGCCGGGAATCCTTCTTCTGAAGTAGGATGAAGTGCAAAGTTTAGGGCTATACGGCTGAATAAATACCTCGATCTTCCCATGAATCGGCCGTATAACATCTTCCATGGCACCCTTAAAGCCTTTGTTTCTACCCCTTACCAAACCCACTTTTTGTTACACGGCCTCGCGTCGTCGCCCGGGGGCTCCCTCCTAAACCCTGAAACCTTAGTCGCTAAACCCCTAAACCCTAAACCCTAAACCCTAAACCCTCAACTCTGAACCCCAGGCCCTTTGGCTCCCATGGCCAATTTCCTGGTCAGACGCCATGAAGCTCTATAAAGCCTTGTAGAGCCTTTATAAAGCCCTTATGAAGGATGCCGAAAACTGGAAATTCTGACAAAATCCTAGTAGAACCCTCACTTATCCAGTCGGCGAAGCCTCTCCCTAACCCTCCAGGTATCTACTCTATAGGGCCCTAGCACCTCTAGTACCCTAAACCCTAAACCCTAAACCCTATATAGTAGGTACCTGGGGGTCAGGGCCTTCTATCGTCCAGGGAGCTGTGTAACCAGCCTCCTGCGCGTCTAGGGCAGCCCCCTCCTCGCGAGGCTAAGTTTCAGGTATGAAGGGGCTTAGGGCTTAGGGTTTAGGGTGTAGGGTCATGTGTGAATAATAGTACTAGTATTTTTGGTAATACGAATAATGGCAATAGGAATTGTTAGTATATAGTAATTGTCAGTATTTGATACTAACCTTAATATTCATATTTACTACCGAATGGTCGGCCAGGCATCCAGAACAACGCTGGTCTTTCAGGCTGAGAACTACCTATAGTCTCCATTGTAGTTCCTTTTTTTGGTTTAACCAGTTTTCTATTAAGGATTTTAAAAGGTATCCCCAAAAAGGAACTACAATGGAGACTATAGGTAGGGCTTAGCGTGTTTAGGGTTTTTCAGGTTTGATGAGCTCGAACTCGGAGGCATGGCTGAGACCCGCACATCTAAGCAGCTCCCCAGCAACTCGAGAACGTCCTACACCCTAAACCCTTTTTGCGGGTTTAGGGTTTAGGGTTCAGGGTTTAGGGTTTAGGGCCTTCAGAGAGACCTCGTTCAAAAAGGGTTTAGGGTCCCCGAAACCCTCATCTGTGGCCAAACCTGAACCTCAACTGGCCCTGATGCCCTAAGCAACCCCCGAGGCGAGAAGGGGTCTGCTCGTACGGTCGCTCACGCCGTCTTCTAACGACTGCAGCGCGCTTTAGGGTTAGGGATGCTGCTGGCTCCAGCGTGTTTGGGAACCCAAGAAACCTCAAAGTCTTTTTTTACCACAGCACGAAAACCTCTATCTACTGCGAGATCGACCGCAAAGAGTGTCGATGCACGTCCCGGACGACACACGGTATGGAGAATTTCGCTCAACTGGGGGACCGCGACCTGTAGATTTCAAGACCCCTTGAGACCTCAAACCCTACCGAGCTAGGGCCTCATAGGACCCCTTATTATTATAATAAGCGGTAATGATCAGATCAGACGTCACAAAGTCCTTCTATGCCCCCGACCCCCTTTTCAAACCCCTGAACCTGAGCCCTAAACCGCCAACCTTAAACCCCAATCTCTCTCTCTCTCTCTCACACAGGAATTCGAAACGTCAAGCCTGGTTGCAGGAACCTAAAGCCCAAACTCGAAACCCTGAACCCCGACCCGCGAAACCCAAAACCTACCCCCGGAGGCCTTGATCTCAGCAGGTCGCCCGGGCACCTCTGCAAACTCTGCTCTTTAGGAGCTTCCTCGGGGCTTAAGGTCCCATTAGGGTTTACCTGTAGCCGGAAAGACCTGCCTCTTGAAGTAACTATATATGGAAACCATAATAAGGAACCCTAGAAAGCTTAGGTCTTTCGGCTACAGGTAGGGTTTAGGGCTTTGAATGTTGGGTTTGGATTTAGAAAACAGGTCCTCTATCAGACTCGAAACGAGAGGATTCTCGTCTGTCAGATCCGAATGACTCTCAAGAGGCTCTATAGCTGGGTGCTTAAGAAGCCAAGGCATCGTAATGTAGAGCAGAGATAACTGGAGGATCGGTCGTTTTCCAGAAACTCATGATTCGTCTGCAGTTAAGTGCTTAGGGAATCCCAGCCGTGGCTCATTCTGAGAACATGGGCTTTTTGATATATAGACCGCTAGAAACGTATCTGTGTCTAACTAGGTCAGGTCTGCTAGCAAATAGTTAGGCCTGGCCTAGTAGCTAGGTAGAACAGTCTGCTGGTCGTGAGTCATTGTTGATTAGGGTTACAGGGTGACACCTTCATTGTCTTGGTGCCAGCGGATTCTGGCTACGGTTGTATCCTTATGTACTATTCTTGTATATCTATTTCCGGCATCTTCACTATGCCGTCTGGTGCTGGCTCTCTATCCTTACCCCGGCAGTTGTAGCTCTTCCCGGCATTGGCGGCTCTAAACTCGCGAAAGGAGAGCTGATCCAAAAAGGCTTGGGTTTTCGAGGTTTCGGGTTTCCGTTCTTGAGGGCCCAGGGATTGAAAAAACTGAAACCGAACCATGGAGTCCACAGCCGAGCACTTCTAACTTGAGCCAGTTGCTTCTCGGGATTCTTAGGGTATCGGGTTTGCGGGGGGGGGGGGGGGGGGGTCCTTGCGTCCTAGACCCCTTCAGACGGAGACGCGCTTGAGCTTTCTACGTCCAACCTCTGCGAACCACGGAGCTGTGAACCTCGAGCACCCCCAAAATACGTCTAGCGGCGAAAACCAACCAAAACTCCCAAACTAGGGTTTTGGGTCAGGGTTTCGAGTTTCGACGGGTTTAGGGTTGAGGGCATTATAGGGTACCCTGGACTCCAAAGCCCCAGGCCCTTGGCCTAAACCCTCCGGTTGACTGTCTCTGGCCCTCACATTTGAAGACCTCGGACCCCAGTCCCCGCACCTCTGAACCTTAACAACTAGGAGACCCGAAGTACAAGAGCCTGCCTAATGTAGGGGCCTTCACAAATGGAATGGGATCTGGGTGATATTGCACTTTGGCTACAAGAGCAGTATTGCGAACCATTCTGCCCCAATATCACACACCCCAAGGCCCAAAGCGCCTTGATTCGCATGGTCGGCTCCTCACGCCTTCGGGTGTGTTGGGCTGCTCGGAATTCGGCTGCAGCTGCAGAGGTCCTACATGAACCCGCAAACACCCACTTTCCTCGCTGCCTAGCTACCTAGCTTTCTAACCAACTACCTAGCTACCTCGCTGCCTACCCAGCTACCTAGCTACCTAGCTGCCTGGCTACCTAGCTACCTACCTACCTACCCACCCACCCACCCACCCACCCACCCACCCACCGACCTACCTACCTACCTACCTACCTACCTACCTACCTACCTACCTACCTACCTACTGAAATACATACATAGATACATAGATAGACCTACTCACTTACCTACTTCCCTTCCTGGCTGCCTCTGCTTGCGATTGGGCTCCTTACAAGAGCGGCTCCGGAGCCTAGCCTAATTCGTGAGGTTTAAGGTTTGTAGACTCATAAGGCTTAGGCCTTATGGAAGGCATACATGATCTAGGGCTTCAGGTTTGTTTGGTGTTTAAGGTTGAAGTCAATTTGCCCAAGCTCAGCACATCTGACACTAGCCAGCTAAACACCACACATACCAAAACCCGTCCCAGAGCTTAGATGTGATTGGATGGGGATGTTTAGGATCGTCCGACTATCAAGACCTCACAGGCACTGAAGCCCGAACACCTTTGGGTGTTCGGTTCAGGGTTTAAGTTTCCTGCAAGGTGTTACACACCCAATTCCCAAACCCCAAGCAGCCTCGGATCCAAAGACGACTGGGAGCTGGCGGCCAGGGCATTGCACAAGTCGGCCAACGTCTCCTGGGCACTGAGGGCTTGAGGCTCAGGGGGTTTACGTTCTCACAACTCGGACATGCCAGGCGAGCATCCATGGCTCAGAGTTTAGGGTTCAGGGCCTTAGTGGCGTTGGCTGGCATAGGATGGACGAGGAGATCTCGTCTCTTACACTCGCACACGTAGGCAAGGGGTTCCAGAATGTTCCAGACGTCCGCAGGACTTCAAACCTACAGCCTACGGCAGGCTCCATCCAGCAACCGGAGGAGGATTTCGATTTCAGGTCTCGGGTTAAGTGGGTTCAGCATGCTCAGCCAGAGAACGTTCTCGGTGCAGCATCCACCTAGTGTTGCAAAAGCGAGAATGATTAGAGGTCCTCACTGTTTGTCCTGACCTCAAGGGCTGGAGGTGATGTCATACGAAAACACTATCAGGGATTGCAAGCCCGAAACGGAGGAGTTACATGTGCTCTTTCTGCTTGATCAGAACAACAGCAGCGTAGCCCAAGCCCTAGACAGACAGAAGAGATCAGAGTGTCATAACCCTCGCCCAGCTTGTGCTTGTCTACGTGACTGGTACGAATGCACCGAATCCTAAAAGCACTAACCCTAAACCCTAAACCCAAGTAAGGCCAGAAAGCTGGCCCCAGGCCAAGCTCAGCGCCAACATCGGCATCGTCCGAAAGCTCACGGAGGCTTCTGATGACGGAGGCAGGGAACGAAGAAAGGGAGTTCGGGGTGTTTCGGGGTTCTGGGGTATCTACAGAAAAGGTGTTTTGGATTTGTTGTTCCTGCCCGCTTCGCTGACTTTTTTGGACTTAGGTTTGGGGCTTGTGGGTGTTTAGAGTTTGAAAGGTTTAGGATTCTGGGGCGTGGGGTTCAGGTAGCAAGGCTCCGGGGAGATGTTCTTGCCTGCTGCATCGATCGGTCTGGGCATGGACAAGGCTTGGGGGTGTTGTGCCGATGTGGCGACTCTTGGTTTCAGTGGCCCCAAGATTCATGAGTGGGGATTCATGAGCAGGTACCGCTAAAGGACAATAGATAAGAAAAAAGGTCGCCACAAAGTGCAGCTTGTTTCCTTAGTGCGTTAAAGCACTTGGTCCTCGCTTAGCGGTTCTTTTGTTAGTCTTATCGCATGCACCTCAGAAGCGTCCAAGATCGACTAGTGGGCACCCAGGAAAGGCTTGACTGCCATGCTTTGTTTCCATCTTCAACCTGCGATAAGCCTCCTCCCATCCACATCTCAAACCGCAGTCTTCAGAAATTTCGGTGGGATCCGAAGACTCTCGACGTCTTCACCCCAATCCCCAGATACCCTTATCCATAAGCCTACAAAGCCTAAACCCTGAACCTTCAGCCCCTAAACCCCAAACTATCGAACCCTGGCAAACGCCTCACAGTAACTACCCTTCACATTCTTGGGCCCAACACCCAAGCAAGAAACTTTAAACTCCAAACTCTTTTGACCCCCCGAAACCCTTATCCCTGAAAGCCCTCAACCCCAAGCCTAAACCCCAAACCCTAAACCTTAAACCCTACACCCTAACCCCTAAACCTTAAACCACCTCCTTAAACCCTAAACCCTACAGCCTAAACCCTACAAAAACCCTTCTCGGGAACCTGTCAGGATCCCTCCGTGCTCCTGGTATACCCCTCGCTCTCCACGCCGCCGCAGCGCCGCTGAAGTGCCGCTGCTGCTGGGTAGCCTGAAGCAAAGCGCTGTACTTGAAAAAATCATGGGGGCTTAGTAAGTAAGGTTCGAAGTCCCCCAATTGGGGTTATAAGTATAGTTACCCTTGTCACAACCTTACTTGCTAAGTCCCATGATCCTTTAAGTAGGGGGTTTCCTAAAAGGGCACATGTAGGTTTAGGGAAGTTTAGGGTTCACGGTAGGGTTTGGGGTGTGGGGCTTCGGCTTGATGTTGAGGGCTTTTGAGGGACAAGGGCTTTGGGGGTCTATAGAGTTTAGTTTTTAGGATGCCAAACACAACCAGGTAAGGCCCAACTCCATATGGAACTCCTGAAAGCAACCCCTTGATTATCGAACCTTTCTCGAACCTGCCGAGGGCCCTGATAGAACCACCCCTTATAGTCCCTAAACCCTAAAGCTTGAATCCTAAACCGTAAAACCATAACCCTCAACCCTAAAACTTGAAACCTGGACCCTAAAGCCTTGAAACCCACACCCCCTTCACCCTAAACCCTGAACATAAAGGCCTAAAAATTACCAACTCTATTTTGGGGAGTTCCTTATTATGATTGTAGTACAATGGAACCCAAAACCCTATTCTAAGTATGAACGCCCCTATATTATAGAACCCTCATAGTATCCCTTCTGAGGAACCCTATTCTTATTATCAAGGCCCCTAAATTAAACCCTAAACCCTAAAAACCTAAAACTCTAAACCCTAAACCCTAAAACCCTAAAACTCTAAACCCTCAACCCTAAACCCCTAAACCCTCAACCCTAAACCCCTAAAGCCCTCAACCCTTAAACCCCTAAACCCTCAACCTTAAACCCTTAAACCAAACCCTAAACCCCTAAACCCTCAACCCTTAAACCCTAAACCCCTAAACCCTCAACCCCTAAACCCTCAACCCCTAAACCCAAAACCCTTAAACCCTAAACCCCTAAACCTCAACCCTTGAGCCCTTTTTT